ATACTTCCACCAATTTTCCTCTCACTTCAGTCGTGAATGTGATCATCTTCGGACCATGTTTCTTGCTTTTGACCATATGCAACAAGTACTCCTCTCGTGGTTCTTCTTCTTCGCAATTATCTCCAATTTCCAACAAAAATACTTCCTTACCCTTGCACTTGTGGCCTGGCGTGAACTTTTCATTGCACGAATAACAAAGGCCTTTTTCTCGTCGTCGCTGCATCTCTTCATCAGTAAGCCGCCGTATGTTGCTTGTCAACAGCCTCGCCCAACGACTTGCTTTCGGTTCGCGCCGTTAGCTCCTCAGTCGCAGCGTTCGTGCGCTTGGTCTCTGTGCGCACGTCGCTCGGCTTCGCCTTGCGTACTGCCATGAGATGATCTCCGTGCAGTCTGGCCGACTCTATAGCTGCTCGCATCGATCCTGGCCTGTCCAACCTCACCTCGGCTGCTAGTTCGGCTTTAAGCCCTCCAACGAACGTCCCTACTAGCGCACTCTCAGGCCAATCCCTCACTCTACTAGCAATGCGCTCGAACTCCTTTTGATACTCCCTCAGACTTCCAACTTGCTTGATTCTCGACAAGGCTTCATTGTAATCGTGGTAGTTACTTGAGCCGAACCTTGTGATGAGCTCTTTTTCGAAATCCTTCCAACGCATGTGCTCGCCATGGTTCTTGTGCATCACCCATTGCCACCATACGTTTGCTTCTCCATCCAGATGATAAGCAGCAATTTGCACTCTTTCGTACCTTGGCACATCATTGATCTCAAAAAATTGCACAACTCGACTCAACCACGCATCTGGATCTGTCCCCATGAACGTGGGCATGGCTATTTTTGGCCGGGTACTTGCCCTCTCGTCCACTTGTTCATCACGATCGTGGTGTCCCTCGTGTCGCCGTGCGTCGCGCCGTCGGCCATCGCGGTGTGGCCTCAGCTCATCATGTGTCGCATGCGACGCGTACGATGCGTGTGATCGCCAGTCGTTGTCCTCCTCGCGCCTTCAGTCGTGATGTGCGCTTCCATCATACCTTCGTCGATCGTCATGGTGGTGGTCCGCACGTGATGCGTGTGTGCCCCTCGATCGGCGATCGTACTCCCGCTCGGTCCCGGTGCTTATCGCCGTGGACCTTGACCCGTGACGCCTCCTTGGCCGTGTGTTCATGCGCGTTAGCTGCCCGGCCAAGTCCTGTACCATCAGTTCGATCCTTCCCAAGTTCTCGTTGGTAGCATGTTGACCATCGCCGATGATTTTCATGTTGTCTTCCAACGTTTGAATCCTCTCACGGTTTGACATCATAAATCTCTTTTTTTTTTAACCTTAAAAATTCAAACAAATTCGAACCCAAAAATAAAAAATAAAACAAAGAGAAATTCGACCCCTCAACAAAAGGTAATAACCGAACAAAAAAAATCAAACAAAGGACTAACAAGATGACACTTTTTTTTTTTAAGACACGAAAAAATAATGAAAAATTCGAACAAATATTCGAAAATTTCGAACAAAAAAGAACAAAAATTCTGCCCCCTCAGCAAAAGGCAAAACCGAAAAAGAAAAAAGATAGATAGATAAAGAACACGATCAACACCTCTCAACGAAAGCACCAATGATGACGGATCGTGTCCTTACTCTATACGGTTGTGAACAAACGGCGCACTCAGGGCCTGTTGGGTTCGCTTGTACCGTACGAGCTATACGCAGCGGAATTTAAAATTTTTCAAAAACATGTATTTA